CAAAAGGTTTTGTAACTAAAAACATGAAATAAGTTGACAAAAAAAAAAAAAAAGTGCCTCTCAGTCCTGGAAGAGAGTGTGCTGAATAGTGATATTATAAACTCTATAAAATCACAGTGGAATGAGGGAGGTGAAYAGGAAATGACATAATTCAGGAATTAAGTGCATGCAATAAAATTAATGGAGAAGAATTTAAAACAACCAAACTCCCCAAATCATGCAACAATGAACCGGAGAACTTTTTAATGTCAGAGGCAATTCTGAAAGCCAAAATTTTGAATGATGAAGATGACAAGTAATGAAGATGAAGAATAGAATAAAAGAAACTGCCATGGGTAGTTCAGTATGAAGATACAGCTGGAATCTGTGCTTTCGGAGTGTTCATAGAATCATAGAATGCCGAAGGTTGGAAGGGACCTCAGAGGTCATCGAGTCCAACACCCCTCCTCACGCAGAGTCACCTAGAGCACGTGTTCATGAACTGGAAGCTGGGAAATTTCACATGGGGCATGTCCCTGTTCTTACAGCTGAACCCCATGTATCTATTGCAGGCCATAGTGCAGCTAGCAGGCTAGGAGAAGCATTGGTTTGACTCAACTTGGTTATGTGTTCTTGATGTTTTGTAAAAGGCTTTAGYAAGACATTCGTAAGTCAAAGGACTTAAGATCATAGATGAGCTATTTCTAGCAGTTTATTCCTGACCCATTTTTCTTGCTAAAATTTTTGGAAGATTTACCTTCTCTATTATAAATTGCATTTGCAGGGAGATTTTTTTTTTTCAGATAATGGAGGCAAGCAAATGCATATAGAACAAATAATTCCAAAGAGCAATTCCAAAGATAGGTTAAAATATCCAAAATATCCATGATGGCCACAKAAAGGTGAATCTCCCCACATCTCTGGTGCAGACATCAGATCTTCAGGAAGATCTTCACAGCCTGAAGAATGGGTCAGCACACGCCTATATAGATTTATTAGAGTTTTAATGAGTATCATGGTACACAGGCAATGTGCCAAGGTGAATGACATATGGAGTAGGTGAATGGGTAGGTAARAACTCTCAGATGCATTTCCCATTTGGTCTCATTGCTTATAGCTTCCTTCAGCTGAGGCTGTGGCTAGTGCTAGGAGTAGCAGCCACCTATGCTATTGCAGACCACGGGATCGAAGTGGCTGCTGTAAAATAATAGCAATAACAACAGCAAAAGATTAAAGCATTACTTGTGGTCCAGTTCAGCTGTCTGCCCTGCCCCCTGACTGGCAAGAATGGCATGATACTTCCCAAAGGTAAGTAGGATGATGGTCCACCAGCAAACAATTCAAGAGGGGAGTCTGAGTCTGGTTGTGTATGACTGTTTTAAAGCCTGACTTGTACCAGGCTTTTGTACCATTATAGCAATAGAGCAGGGACTAGAACAGCTGAGATCTTCCTGATAAGTGTTTTCCTCTGTGTCATTTTCTCTGCCTTGGACTGGAGACAGAGTAGAAAAGGAAAAGCAACAATGGGACATCATAGATCACTACTGTGGGTCTAAAATGGGTATTATTCCTTTTTTTTTTTTTTTTTTTCCAATTTCCTCATACGTATATCATAGAGGCAATGGGAATGACTGCCATGACTGACTGAAAAGTTGTAATGAAAATTTTAGGCCCAGCAGCTGTAATCTTACCTGGAAGTGTATGGTAGCAATTATTTTAGCTCAATGAAATTCATAACACAAAGAAGCTMCTGTCAAGGCAAATTACAGCATTTAAAGTGAAGATGTGGCACTAGACTAGTAGAGGTGCAATTAGCCAATCAAAAAAATACTGCAAGCAGGTTTTCATGCTTATTGTTTTTGTCCACCTGCAGTGGCTTAAATATCCCCTGTATCTTGAAGGGAAAGGAATGATGCTTATTAAATCTGTTTCTCCTGATGGAAAGCTTCATTGGAGCTTTCATCTATCAAGTATTTATCACCACCATGTGTAATGAGCCCAGTCTTGGGCCAGTGGGTCACCTCTCTCTTTTCCTCTCCAGCAATGTGACTACACTTGCTGCTGTGCACTGTGGAGTCCTTGGAGCCAAGGTCTTGCCAAGCAGTTATGGAGCAGGTCTTGAGCTCTTAAACTAAGCCACTATCAGCTTCAGCAGTTCTGTGCAATTTCTCTGCCAGATTTTTCTGGAAGACAGACCTAGAGCCCTGAAGGAAGACATATTTTCCCCCCAGAAGCCAGAGGAGCAATCATTGCAAAAAAGTTAGGTTTGTGAGGCAAGCCAAGTTCTGAGGAGCATTGAAATATATGCCTTTGTAAAGACTTCTATAATTTATTTTGATTAAACCTCCATAATCCGAAATATATTTTTAATTTTTTTTATTAGCCCTGCTCTCATGTTTGAGATTGTGTGCTAGTGATACACTTCATTCACTTGGTCCTTTAAATCTTGCTTTGAATCTAAAATTCCTTTAATTGGAGTTCTCTACATGTGCTAAATCCCCACATACTTTTGGGTCTCTGGTACAGAATGATTAATAGATTTTTGTTTCTAATTTTACTTAAAAAAAAAAAAAAGATTGAAATAAGGTTTTGGAGGTCTATTTRTATATATGCTTTTTTAATGGGTGTAAAGTGCACCAAATAAACACATGACTGGCACATTAAAATCAGAAATTTCTGATAATTTTCAATTGGTAACATTCAATATAAGGCAAAATCTTGCAATTCCTTGTGCAAAAAAAAATGTGTGTAGCATCCACAAAGCCATATAATAGAATTATAAGAAAATTAGAAATGAAATTTTCCAATAAATACATAATTGTTCTCATTGGGGCTCTAATTAAATGCTTACGTAGGTAAACATGACCAAATAATATTGTAATCCATAAATTCATCTGATCAAATCAGCCCATACTGAGGCTCTAGCCTTTTCTGAAGCTGCTTAGTCCATGCTTGTGAACAAGTGTATAATAATATCTTRATTTTTTAAGCTAATGTATATAAAAAACACTAGCATAAAAATGATAAATTACACTGAGGGGCTGACAAATAGAGTAATGAGCATTTATCCCTTCAAAACAGGACTCTAGATGCAACTTTGATGATGTTATGAAAACTATTTCATGGCATATATTTAACAGTGTATATAAAATCTAACGTAAAGGTATACTATACCTTTTCTGTCTTCTTGCAAATTTTTAACAAGAAACTAGAAAACTATTCAAATCCCTGAAAATTCATAAAAAGAAACTCAGAAAATAAAAGGAGGCCTATCAGTTTCCAAGAGTTCACCCAAAACAAATCCAAAATATTCATTTTTTTTTCCTGAGGCCTAAACATTTTGCTTGTTCTTTTCTCATTGCTTTCCCCTGCCAGCATCTCTCGGAAGGAGATATTCCAGGAACACATGAGCAGCAGCTGTTCAAGCAGGCCGGAGGTCTGCTCTTACTCATCATACAGGACATACACAATAAGCTTTTGCTTTTTGCCAGCCTTTATGTCAAATTTTAGGATCATAAAAACCAACAAGTCAGCATGTCTGKTTTTTGTCTTCTCTCATTGCTATCATTTATTTCTACACTATTTTCTCCTTATCTCATTGCAGCTTACTATTATTACTTTTCAATCTAACAGCCTTGTGATTCCTGCAGAAGTGATATGCTGCCAGGCTACATTAGAAGACACTTAGCAAATGTAGTTAGCAATCTGACTGCTAATCATAGAAATATAAAGCCCTAGGAYGTATTTTGATTTAATAGTGGCATAAAAACGTTGCATGTCTGTTATGCTTTGCAGAAGAATTTGGCTACAAGTTGTTTTGAAATAAACAGGCAAAATGCATCAATGCATCAATGTGTAAAGACTCATGTCAACAATCATCTCCATCGTTCACCTTCAGTTGTTAAGAGAAATTAACATCAGGTATAGACCTGGTCCATAAAGCTCTCATCTTGCAAACACTGATATAACACATAAATAATTCAGTGGAAGCCAAGGTGACTACTCACATGTTTTCAAGGATTCTCAGGAGGAAAGAGGAAATAAACAGTTACTTAACCTTTTCTTGCTCCATACACGTCTCCAAAGTCCATTCTTTTTTGCTTAGTTCAAACCAAAATTGAATGTGCTTCCATATTTAACAAGGCTACACAAAAGTAGGTTTTCATTCCTGACTTTTAAGTGCACAYGTTCAAATAATACATAAATGCTGTATCATTTGGCTATTTTAATTTAGCCTTCCCATATGCTACTACATAACCCACCTTTCAAAGTCTGTCCTTAAGAATACAAGCAGAGATATGTGTAACCCATTTGTTGTTTCCCTGTTAAACTATATTATTGAAATATTTTTATTATAGCCTCAAGACATTGGCCTCATATTTTTGTAGGATAAATACAAGCACGCACGTGCACACACACACACAGACACAAAAACCTGCCTTACACTATCTTACAGTCAATATAAGATATTAGAGAGAAGAACTGATTACACACAGTTCTAAGAGGAAYGCTGGATATATATATCTTCTAGTAAACATTTTATAAAAGTGTACAGAGTTGTTTTAATATACCTACCATACCGAAGACAGGTACATGAGAATGTAATTCATCTTCTCAAAGCATCCTCATACTTCCAAGTGGATCCTTGTTTCTTTGCTTTAGAATTCTTCTTGTTGGTAACATTATTTTTCTTGGCTTGCACCATGGGAAAGCATAAACAGTTCTGTGCTGTATTCCCAGCCCCAACCACACTGAGCTGCATAGTCTCAATAAGTAGTACCTCTGAGAAACACTATAATATTCTTGCAGCTTAATATTTTAGACTTAAATTTTTGTCTCAGAATTCTAGTCTTTGTTGGTTCATAAAAAAGATATACAGAAGAGAGAGTATATTTTAAAAAATATGTAGAAGATCATGTCTTGGATATTTTCTTCATTGAGATACTCTGAATTTTCCTCCCAAAGTTAAATTTTTTAAAAAATTCATTGATATTTTGTAATATATTGTAAAGCCAGAAATGCTTTTGAAAACATTATCTATAAGACYGAGTAAAAATGTTGTGACATCAAGTGTCAGTGAGTTTATTCCTGGAAATAATACTCAAATCCATGAGAAAATAGCCTGGAGATGTGTCCATTATCAGAGTTTTCTAGTCTGTCAAGAAAGGATTGGACATATTGAGTGGATAATGACTCAAGAAATCATTTCCAGTAAATTGCATTTGTAATAGGTGCAAAACTTCTCTCACTTTGAATAAATGTGCATAAAGCATTAAAAATAATAACAGGGAAAATGCACATAAAACACTACTGCCAGTTTCTCAGCAAGGCAGCTTCACCTTAAATTCCTTAAGCCAGCACAAAAGTATTATATTTTCACTGATAAAGTAGCACTGAAGTAAAATTTTGATACTGTCCATGGAAAAAAAATAAAGAGAAATTAAATATAATTATTGGTAAATGCACACATACTGAAGAATCATATCTTCCTCTGTGGATATAGTTACTGAATAAGTTCTRCAGTTCTCTGTATTGTCATTTGAGATTTGTTTTCAATGACTGTCTAAGAGAAGCTTTTAGTCTCTGGAACTGTGAAAAAATATAAAGCTTTAGCTATCTAGCATAATAACTTATCTCATTGAATGCAAATCATTCCCACTAGAGAAGTGAGTCAAAAAAGGCCTTAATTATTCACAGATTTAATATACTGAAATAACATAAACATTCAGGTACCCATCTTCAAGAAAATACTATGCAGGACGAATTATATCAGAGGTCTTTTTTTTTTAACAAAACAATACAAAAACATCTATACAGGGAGATGAAGAAGAAGGCTCGTTGAAACAAGACATTTTAAGGAGGAAATGTTTTGTTGACTCAGAGATCCAAAAGTACTCTTAAGAGAACTTTGATTAAGAAGACACAAGCTATAAACACATTTTTATAAAGCAGTATYTACTTATTTTTATCAAGCATATTTTACCCGTGCGCTTTGTAAATAAGCTTTCTGATGCAAGCCCGGCACTTTGAGGCCTGTTTTCAGTAACACGCTTTCTGTATAAATCACATTTTTCAAGCTCTTTATGTTAGGTTTAACTTTGGATCCTGCATATCAAAGCTGTTTATCTGACATGGTACCTGTTATCTTTGAACAAATACTTGGAATGAAGTTTTCCTGTTAGGAAGTTATTGTTGTCCTGTTAGTTAGCCATTCCTACCTTTGAAGGAGAATTCTTGTTTCTTTGGTTAATCATATTTTTTTTATTTTGTTAATCAATTCACTTTGTTAATCTTTACATACTTTATAGTTTGAACATAAACAGCTTGCTCAGCCTTACAGAATATGAGAAAGTACAGCACTTGGACAATAAAGCTCTCAGCTGGGGCAAGATATTACAAGACAGTGAAGGTTTCAAGGGAAAGTGCATGAAATGCTTAAAGAAGCAGCATTTACATAAAATAATGAGATTGATTCGGGTGTAATCATCAACATGAGCAAAAGGGAGTTAATACAAGTACAAATAATAAGGACAGTTAGTGACACAAAAAAGGTGAAACACAGATCAGTAGGAAAGACTGAGTGCTGCAGCCCAGAAATGTATTTGCAAGGTCTTGGAGTAAGCTAAATATGAGMTTTAGATTTAAGTGTCAAACTCTATTGTTTGCATGATGCCAGGAGACTGAACACTTTAAAAAGGCACTGAATGTACTCAGGTTCAGGAGATACATCAGATTCTGGCATCGCTTACTAGGTTGATAGCCTACTAAGATAAAGTTCAGCAATGGGAATTATTAGCTGGAGAAAACTTTAGTCTAAAACTGGAAAAGGAAGGATGGTGGTGGCATTCTGAAAAGAAAAGCAGCAGAGAATGATTTGCTACTTTGGAACTAATTAGCCCCAAGACTTGCCTAAGAACTATGAATTTATCCACTTCAATACCATTGAGTTACAGAGGGAGAACACTACAGGTGCTATCTCAAAGGAGAGGTGAATTCTCAGATTTCTAAAAGAACCCCGTTTCTGACTCTTCACTCTCAGTGGTCTAATGTGCAGTGCTGAACAAAACCTTCTTTCCACCAAAGAATGCCCACTACTTGGATCTTATGCTCATTTCTCTTGCAGTCCACAAGCAATTAGAATCAAGCAATAGGATGTCTATGACACTTGGAAAGGGATATGACGCCAGACAGGGACCTAGGTATGGTCTTCATTTAGCTCTTCATTACCTGGGGCCTCAGAGTATGTCTGCAGTGGTGCAAGATTGCATCCAGCCAATTCAAYACGATTCTTGGGAGAGGAGACATCTGTCCTTACTCTTCTTGACTTTTTTTTCAGCAGACAGGACTTCACCACAAAAGTTACAAAGGAAAATGGCAGCACCACCCCATCTGTTCTCTTGTGGACCATGAAATGGTCAGTATTGGGGTCTCAACTGGTTTAATTTATACATCAGTGACCTGGATGAAGGGACAGAATGCGTCCTCAGAAAGTGTGCTGCTGATCCAAACCTGTGAGCAGTCACTGACCCACCAGCAGGCTGTGCTGCCATTCAAAGAGAGCTGGATAGGCTGGTGAGGTGGGTGGAGAAGAACCTCATGAGGTTCAACAAAAGCAAGTGCAAGATCCTGCACCTAGAAAGGAATAACCCCATTCACCAGTACAGACTAGGCTTGACCTGCTGGACAGCAGCTCTGAAGAGAAGGACTTGGGGGTCCTGGTTGACAAAAAGTTGAACATGAGACAGCAATTTACCCTTGTGGCCAAGAAAGCCAGTGATATCCTGGGGTGCATTAGGAAGAGTGTTGACAGCAGGTCCAGAGATGACCTACTCTCAACAGTCTTCAGGCTTAGTGAGGCCACATCTGGAGAACTGTATCCAGTGCTGGGCTCCCCAGTACAAGAGAGACATGGAGCTACTAGAGAGGACAAGCGAAAATGGCCTCGAGTTTCACTAGAGGAGGTTCAAGTTAGATAATAGGAAAATTTTCTACAAAGAAAGAGTAGCCAAGTACTGGAACAGGATGCTCACAGAAGAGGAGGAGTCACCATCCCTGGTAGTGTTCAACAAGGGTGTAGACAAGGTGCTTAGGGACATAGTTTAACAGATATAGTGTTGAAGGATTTATGGTTGGACTTGATATTCTCAAAGATCTTTCACAACCATAATGTTTCTATGATTCTATGAGCGAGTTCAGTGTAGAGCTACAGAGATGATCCGGGACTGGAGCAACTTTCCTCAGAAGAGAGGCTGAAAGAGCTGGGCCCGTTCACTCTAAAGAAGAGAACGCTGAGAGGTGATCTTGTCAATTTGTATAAGTATCTGAAGGGAGGTTGTCAAGCAGAGGGGGCCAGATTCATTTCAGTGGTGGCCAGCAATAGGACAAGAGGCAACAGTCACAAGCTGAAGCACAGGAGGGCCTGCCTGAATTTGAGGAAAAACTTCTGGACTGTGAGGGTGACAGAGCATTGGACCAGGTTTCTCAGGGAGTTTGTGGGGTCTCCTTCTCTGGAGATTTTCAAAACCTGCCTGGATGCGACCCTGATCCTGACCCTGCTTGTGCAGGGTGTTTGGACTAGATGATCTCTAGAGATCCCTTCCAACCTCAATCATTCGATGATTCTGAGATATTAACTTTCTACTTTGCTTTCAACATCTACATTATGACTAAAACGGTCAGACTCAATGGATATCGATATTACTCTTTCAGGGATTAATAATCACCTGCACATGAAGTTTGGCTATTTTTAATAAATTCCAATAAATACAGAATGTAGCAGCATGTCTTAGAGTGTGTGTGAGCAAATAGTGCTCACACTTCTATCCACACTGGCTTCACATACCACAAAGGCTCAAATTCTCCGTCCTAATGCTCACGCCACGTAACAATTACTGAGCACAGATCTCCAACTCCACTGAAGCCACAGTGCAGCACAGCTCTGTGCACACATCAGCTTGGATCTTGAAGCACTAGAGACTGGAAATTGCTAGGCAGTTTCCTTTAGTTCAGCACAGCAGTGCAGCAGAGCTACACTGCTCCTGAACACCAGCTGGCTCCATGTGGAGGCAGCTCAATGCCTCTGTGCTGTGTCTGCCAACACTCCACACTTCAAGGTTACYGCATGTGGTATTTGCAGTCCCTCCGTCTCGTGTTACTGTGATGTTAAATGTGTTATATGAAAATATTTGAAATAGGATCCAGAAACATCGCTTTTCRTCCAAGAACAATTGTAAGCTTGTCATCCCCGTGAAATGTCTGCAGTGCTTATCTTAAGTTTGTGTTCTTTCCTATAATCCTTTAGACTTCTGTACAAAAAGCCTTTTTGCTAGCAATCCGTGCTGCCCATTCTACTACAAGCTGGAACACAACCTTCACTAAACATAAGTGAAACAAGAAATGTCAAGTAATCCAAAAGTGCTAATACCTCTCTATGAAAAATAAACTATAACACTAACTCACAGAGCTGAAGACCAAGGAGAGATGTATCTCACTTCAATTATTCATAGGTAGCAATTATGTTCAGATCTTAGAATGGAGCCTTACCTTAAGCCTAGCTGATATATCCTCTCCCTTACTCTGAGGARGCCTTGTTGCAAAAGGCAAAATTTGTCTTAAGGAAAATGAGTGCTGTGGAGGCCAGCCTCAAGGACAGCAGCATGGAATGCACTTGTTGGCAGGAAAAAGAGAAGCAGCAGCAGCTAATCAGTGAGAATGAGAAACTGTTGGATATAAAAGAGTATAAAGCAGATAAGAAAACTATACATACGCTGCAGAGTGCTTTTCGCAAGAGAAGGTTGAGAGTAAATCTCACACTCCTCTACACAGTGACTAATATTTCACTTGAGAGGTGGCCTCACAATTGAGTATTCAGTGGGAGTTCACTAGAAGTGTGCTAGCCATCAGTGCAATATCATGTTTATGTGGCTCCAGCTTCTCTGTGCCTGAATATGCTTCTAAATGTACACAAGTGGAAGTAATTTTTGGTACAGACAGCAAGAAACTTCATCAGGAGAGTATCAGCCTTGTTATAAATGGTCTAGTTTCTTCTAGGTCTCTACCATCTGAAAGATCTGCTTTCTAATATCATCTGCCTAAGAATCTAATACTTTTCTTTGTTAACTCAGAACTGGAACATTGTTTGATTTCAGTGGGGAG